TGTTGTTTGTTTGTTTGTTTGTTTTGCCTTTTGTGGGTAGGAAAGCATGTGTACAATCCCAGCACTCCAGGGCTGGGGAGTGAAGGTGAAAGGGGGAGGACTGTGAATTCAGAACTAGTCTAGACATCACAGTGAGACTGTCTCGAAAATCCCAGGAGGGGATGTAACTTGGTGGTACAGTATTTGCTTGATGTACAGGTCCTTAATTATTTCAGTCCTCAGTAACATACATACACACACACACACACACACACAGAGAGAGAGAGAGAGAGAGAGAGAGAGAGAGAGGCCTTTAATTCCAGCACTCATGAGGCAGAGACAGATGGCTGAATGTTTGAGGCCACCCTGGTCTACAAAGCAGGTTTCAGGTTTCAGGACAGATAGGGCCGTTGCACAGAGAAACCTTATATTCAAAAAAGAAAAGAAAAAGAAAAATGCAGAAAAAAAGGTAACTATTTCAGTACCTTGTGACATGAGGGAAGTTAAGGGAATGAATATCGAGGAGACTCCTTTTCTGAGGGGGATGTTGGAGGGGAATGACATGACCATAGGTTTGCCCTCTGTCCTACAAAGGGAAAAGATGCTTGATCCCTCAGGTCCCTCAGTAGCTTCTGGGAGCTGGAGGAATTCTATGGAGGAAGTCAATACAAGGTTATTACACAGTATGAAAAACACAGGTAGCACAGGACATTTAAAAGGGCATTCCTCTTGTGACCATTTCACTTTAAGCTCAGATGGAAGCCAAGGACAGAACAGGAGACATAGCTCAGCAGAAGTACCTCTGTGGAGCAATAATTTAGTGCTGAGAGCTTGGTCTGACTAGTGTGCAGTTACATCCTATTGAACGAACCCACAAGGGTCGCAAGCTGATCGAACTGTGCACTCAAACATCCCTTCTCTTGGATGGGCAAGTGCTGAGCACAAGCAACAACGCTTTCCAGCGGAGTTCCCTGGCGAGGACCTTAAGGCCATGTACTCTGTGGACATATTAATGCTGAGGGACCAGACACTGGAGTAGCAAAAGTTATATTCTCTTACGAACGTTCGAAAGCCCGGGGGGCATCTCAGTCATGTGGAGAATTGTTTTCCTTTCAGATCAGAAACCATCTCGTTTACCATCATCGCAGGAACAGACACCGGTATTCTTTTAAAAAGAAATACTTTTAGCGGGGTACAGTGGTGGGCAGCTACTTTGGGGTGCTGAGACAGGTGGACCACTTGAGCCCAGGAGTTTGGGGTCAACCTAGGTAACATAGAAGAGCCTAACTCAAAAGCTAGTTTGTTTTTCTTTATCACCCATATAATACATATTCACTGAAGATCCATGAGAAAATATTAACACACACACACACATGCACACACCAGGAAAAATGCAACAATCATTGGTCCTTAAGCCCAACTTTTGTTTATCCCTCCATACATAGTTCTGCATACTTTTTATCCCCAATAAGTATCAAGATATCATACTCTTAAGATGCTGTGCGTTCCATTACTAATGTATTACAATCTCCCTTTTTATGACACCATACATTAACTAAGCCAAACCTTGTTGATGGATATCTAGATCGATTCTTCTGCTGTTACGAGCAATATTTCATTAACTCCTGTGCCTAAATTATTTGACAGATTTAAATTATTGCCTTAAAAGGAAACTATATGTATATGTGTTAAAACATATACATTTTATGCCTTTTGAGACATAATTCCAGTGTGTCTCATAACTTTGTTTCCATTTGTACCCCCACAACTATATGGGAAGGTCCACAATATCTTAAACATTTTCTATTCTTGCTCCTTTTGCTTGAGAAATGTTTAAAACATCAAGGAAAGTAGGTATATAAAACGGGTATATAAATCAAAAGTTTACTGATGATAACTCCTAAAGAAATTTATTTTAAAGCAATTCTTTGGTTCAATTTATTGTTTGTTAAAGATTAAAGAAAATTTAATATTAGTGAGTGCTTATTTATCTTAATTTTAATTCTATTTTTCTTCTTTCTATTTTTGCGTGTGAGTGTGGAGTGTGGCATGCATGTGTGTGTATGAAAGCTTTTGCATTTGCAGGAGCACACACTTGTGCATTTATACATTCACATGTGCTTGCAATTGTTCGTGTGTGTGTATGTGTGCACAAATGTGGAAGCCAAAGGTTGATGGTAGGAATCGTCCTCCATTGTTCTTCCACCTTAATCCTTGAGGCAGGGTCTGTCAATCAAACCCAAAGCTCAGAGATATAGCTTCTCTTGCAGTCAGTTTGCTCTAGGGCTTCACCTTCCAAGGCTGGAAATTTTGGAGGCTGCCTCACATACCCAGCAAGATTCTGTGCATCTGACTCCGGTCCTCACACTTGTGTGGCAAATACTGTAGCAAACAATGAGCCATCTTCCCAGCCTCTCTTCAACATTTGTAAAGCTGATCAATATTTTGATTTTGTAATTGTCAATACTAAGAATACCACCATGAATATATAGTACAAAAATGCAGAAGTGTGTTTAGAGCCATTTCAGGAACTGCTAGACATTCTGTCCTAATCCCAAGCCAAATTTTCATTTAATGACTTGTTATGAATTCAAGTAGCAACTAAAATGGCAATTCGTGTGTGTTCATTGTGTGTGCTGATGCACATGTGTGTGCCTGTGGAGGTCAAAGAACCAACGTGGGCGTCATCATCAAGTGTGGTCAACCTTTTCATGTTTCCCTATTATTTCTCTTTGTGTCCTGGAACTCTCGAATAGACAAGACTGGCTGGCCAGTGAGACTCAGGGACCCTCTTGTCTCCACCTCCTCTGTGCTGGAATTACAAGCAAGTATCACCATGTTCAGCTTTTAAATAAATGTGTATTTGAACATATAGCCTTCTGCTTATAAGGCAAACACTTTATTTTATAGTCTCCTTATAAGGCAAACACTTTATTTGCTGGGCAATCTTCTCAGCCCACAAATGGCAATTTCTAAAGTCAAACATCCTAACACAATACAAAGATATACTCATGTGATATATATATATATATATATATATGCTGAGGAGTGATGGTAGGAAAATATTGAAGTCTGTTTTCCCATTATCAGACCATTATGTGACTATAAGAGCAGGACACCTTGTGTACGTGATAAGTACACTGTAACTGCTGGCACCGTAACCTCCGATCTCAACAGAGGTGTTCTAGGCAGTGTACACTGGCACTGTGTGGCACGAGGTCATGCACAGTGCAAACTGCCCATGTTCTGCACTCATAACCAAGGCTGCAGGGAAAACTGAATGATACCGTATGAACTACTGCTTCGGGAAATACTTTGGCTTCATTATGATTTGGTTTTGCATTCGTTTTTGGCCGTTCTGGTTTCAGAACACATTTACTGTTGCTGATTGTTATGGATGCCTCACACACTCAGTTATAAAACCCTATGTGTGATCATGCCCACAGTTTAAGAAGCTGGAGGTGGGTGGGTGGGGGCGGTGGAGGCACGTGATGGGCAAGGCTGGAGACCTGAGTTTAGTCCCTGGTGTCCACATAAGGGTGGAAGGAAAGAGTCAAGTCCCCAAAATTGAACCTTGGTCTCCACATGCACACCATGACACCCACCAGCATGCGTCACGGGCATGCACGATAACAATGAACTAAAAGCTATTATTTCTTCCCACGCTATTGCAGGAGTAAGATTTGGAATCTTTTGGGTGTTTACATTTCAGTGTGTGTGTGTGTGTGTGTGTGTGTGTGTGTGTGTGTGTGTGTGGCTGGACCTTGGACATGCTAAGCACACCAGTCTACTAGTGAGCTACATCCTCAGCTCCTAATTTCATGTCTGTAATCACGTGCAAAGTTTCCCTGACCCCTAACATACTCAGTATCGTTTTCTATCATGCACCAAAACCCTTCAACCATCAACCTGGGCTTTCTGGAGTCTGACTGCTGCTTCACTGTCTCCCGCACTCTGCACTTATTCTAGGTATGTGAGTGACACACTGCTCCAGCATTTTCCAGGACACCGAGGCCATCAGTAGACCCTGTAGACCAACCTCCTTTCATCCGAGGAACGGAGAAATAGCCAGGTGGACGGCTCATGGCTTTGTTGATGATATTTCTTTGTTCTATTGGGACAGGGTCTCCCCAGCCGGCCTGGAACTCCCCATTCTCTTACCTCAGCCCGCTGTGTGGCCATTAAGACTTGTGCCACCATGCCAAGCTGGGGTCATGTTTTTAAAACTTTGTTTCGTGAGTGTTATGTTGATATCAGACATGGTCTTGCTGTGTTGTCCAAGTCTGCCTGGAACTGCTGGGTCCAGGGGATCCTTCCACCTCAGCCTGTTTTATAGCTGAGCCTGTGGGTTGCTCCATTGTACTGGGCTACAGCTCATAGTCGCAACTTCCTGTGGCGGGAACTCCCTGAGGAGAACCTGGAGCAGGTGGTGGAAGTGGAGGCTCTCATGGAAGACACTGCGGATCCTAGACAAGCAGATCTTTGCCGGTGACAAGCGTTTCAGTGAACTGTGAATCAACCATGGGTCTATACTTCCTTTGATTGGCACGTGACCTCTCTCTGAATGAGGTAGCTGAGATGGAAACACGATTGTATTTGTGCACATTGACCTGCTGCAGGTCGGAATGGATCTGTGGATCTGAGCTGTTGACAGCCAGGACAACCTGTAGCTTAAGGGGCCTGCTTCTATTTTAAGTACCGGTTGGGCTCATCTGTGCCTCAGCTCCCTCATCTGTGATATGTGCCTCCTTCACAGGGCTACTGTGATGACTCCTCCGCTCCAGAAAAGCTCCCGTGACCTGCCGTATTGAAAGAGCTAACAGAGGGCTAGCGCCCCGTGACTCCCCGTGACTCGATGGAGGAAAGAGAGATGGAGGGAGGGAGGGACAGAGACAGAGACAGAGAGACAGAGATCCGAACTAATGAAACAAAGGAATGTGAAAGAGTGAGAACGGATGGAAAGATTTAAAAAGGGGGAGGGAGTGTTAAGTGGAACACAGAGGCCAGCCTGAATTCTTGAAGCGAGTAGGCCAGCCTGCCACGTCTTGAATTTTTTGTTTGTTTATTTTTTCGGTGCAGATTTTCCCACGCTGCGCTCCCACCGACTCCACAGCGGCAGCCCCGCACGTGGAGGGGAAGGAACATAACTGGCGCGGGTAGGGCCAGGTCGCGGTGAAGGAGCTGCGGCTGCGGGCTGCCTGGCGCCAGAGAGCGCATTGTGCGGGAGCGCTGAATGGAGCTGGGCTATGTGCGGGCGGGCTCGCACGGATTAGCCTGCTTTCCCATGAACTACAAAAGAATGCTCGAATCTGGGACATTTGTCATCAAGGGGCAGGCTGCGCAGGATGCAAGGTAACTAGAGCTTTCCCCGGGCTGCCGCAGTCTTTGGGGACGCGGGTCACTCTAATCCTTCCTGTTTATATTGTGAACGCGTCCGCAGCGAGGCTTAAGCAGGACCGTGGTAAATACGCATCGCAATGCAGGCATTCCAAAACAACTACGTTCTCGGCTTGCTTTTCATTTGTAGTTTTGGGAAGGAGGACTGTTGCGGTTCAGGGCTGAGATCGAAGCACATCCAAGGCTGCCTTTCTATCCAAAAGAACCGGCATTTAGCCCTTGTATATTCTTCTTGTTTACACAATTGTTTCCCTGGTTTATTTCTTCTTTAGGCCTCCAACGACTGAGGAGTTCAGAAAATTCTGATGTAAAACTATCCAGACACGGCTAATTTAACAACGAGTTCTTAGGAGAGAAATAATACTCTTCGTGGTGTTGTAGAAGCCGGGAGTATGGGAAGGGCCTCGTTAAGATTCCCAAACAACACATTTCCCTTTGATATCTTTTAGAACTTAGAACGTGCGATCTCAGGCCCGTGAGTCCGTGCAATTACACGTCTTTGTTGATGATGAAGTCTAAGGTGACCTGCTCCTAATAGAAGCCACAAAATACACCAACATTCTGGAGTTGAACCTGGAGCCAGAGCTCATGTGGAAGTGACCTCACGGCAGGGTGATGCCCTTTCTACCCCTAAAAAGACACAGGGGATTCTCAGAGACTTAATGAGGGCCATAGGACCAGGCCCTGTTTAAACTTCTTTGTTCTAAAAATAAAAAATAAAAAAATTAAAGATTCTGAGCCCCTCTGGGGACTAGGAAAAGTAATAGAGTAATAGAATGTTTTGCATGTGGTTGGGTGGACTTGAGAAGAAGGGCAACAGGAGAGAGGACAGAACAACACTCAGGGGAAATGAAAGGGGGTTGAGAGAATGGGGCCCTTTGAAGTGGGAGGCTGTTAGGCATAGGTCCCATTTTGAGATGACTTAGCAAGGACCCTAACAAAATTCATATTCTCCAACTCCCACTCTGTCGCTGCAGTTGGAGTCTCTTCAAGGGCTAGGGAACCCATATTCCCTGTTTTGTATTTTCCTTTCCAGTCTCCCCTACTCCGGGGTGCTAGTGCATGCTAGGCAAACTTCCTTCCTCTGAGATGCACCCCGACCCCAGCACCTTAATCTGAGTCTATGGTACTCAGTCAGGAGTCTGGATTGGTGGCAGTTGAAAGGAGCTGGTTAATGGAGCAGCATCTGCAAACACAAAGGGGTGACTGGGACCTTACTCTGTCAATGGTGACTGAGCCTTTTGTCTCGAAAACATGGGCTTGATAGTTCTGCAACAATTATGTAGGAAGCATTTATTTCTAGAGTTTATGTGTTTCCTTAGCTGGAAGGTTGTGTTGCTAGAGTAGAATATCAAAAGAAACACACACACACACACACACACACACACCATAACACTTGATTTAGGGTCCCTCTGCAACAAAACATACCAAGCAAACCCTTTCCCTTTCTGGGGAATATAAATGCAGTTAATATGCTTGCTTCTAGGAACTACGAGCTACCTCATGCAGAGTCTTAAATAAGAAGGCAACTGTCATGGCTGGAGAAGTTAAAAGAATTTGCTGCTGTGGAGGAGGACCTGAGTTTGGTTCCTAAGCCCCACATGGTCACTTAGAACTCTATAACTCTAGTTCTCTGGAATGGGGCACCCTCTTCGGGGCTCCTGAGGCACCAGGCATGCATGTGGTACACATAAACACATGTGAGCAAAAACACTAATGCACATAAAATAAAAATAAATAAAATGTATTTAAAGGGGTAACATTTTTAAAACTAAACAAATATGTCAATGTTTATTGGGCAATCACTTTTGCAGTTACATTGTTTAAAAATCCAGCTTTTCACATAAAAGAATGACAAAACAAAACAAAACAAAAAAACAAAAAACAAAACAAAACAAAAAAACAAAAAACCCCAAGCCTTGAAGATTCATTTGAAGAAAAGCAATTGTGCAAGGCACAAGTGTAAGCTACTGACCCTTCCATCCTGAGCCTGCAATCAGCCAACGCTATGAACTACTGAACCAGCAAACAGGAAGGTTTATTAATTTCCTTATCAAAGGAGATATTCAGCCGTGGCATTCTGTTTCAGAGTGAGAAGTTCTGGTTATTTTTCTTGTCCTTATTTGTAACTCGCTGCCAAATGTTTCAAGAGGTCATTCCTGCTGTCAAGCCACCCGTCTTGTGGGCACTGACATTCAGCGCCACACCTGTGTGCAAGGCTGGGCTGTAGCTCAGTGGTAGAGCATGTGCTTAGCATACACGAGGCCCTGGTTGTCGATCCTCAGCATGTGCTGTGAAAGGTAAAATCGTCTTCCAATGGAGCATTTTCAAGCCAAGGGACAGAAACCGCAGCCCCCTCGGCTCTCGCGTTAAACAGACTTCTCGCGGTACAGCCTTCCTGAACCCCGGATCAGCCAGGCGTCCTGGCTGATCCCATTAACACTTGCAGTTTTTCTGTGGAGTTGCCCGCTGGAACAGTGCTTGTGTATTTAATGCTTGCCCTTTTTGCCCCTTAATCTCCTAAGGAGAGTCTGTTATATCAAGCTCAGTAATGTATCCTCAGTACCTAGCACATAGCCTTCGATCAATATCAATTGTTCAAGTCGTGAATAGACTTGAACTTTTTACAAACTGAAAATAACCATCCTTCCAAATAACTCTCTTTTTTAAGTCTCTTGGGACTAGGGGTGAGCTTCTGTGATAGAGAACCTGCTCAACCAATGTGAGGCACCGGGTTCAAACATTAGCACCACCAGACAAACAAAATCTTTTTATACATGGTCATACACGTAAAACCGTGTGTGTGTGTGTGTGTGTGTGTGTGTGTGTGTGTGTGTGTGGTCTTTTGAGATCGGGTTTCTCTGTGTAACAGCCACAGCTGTAAACCACGCTGGCCTCAAAGTCACAGCGCTCCACTGCCTCTGCCTCAAGTGCTGAGGTGGAGGTGCCTGCCCACCACCGCCTGGCAAAGACAAACTTTCTACTAAAGGGTGTAAGGAGCTTGGAGACCACCAGCTGTCTGCGATTAGCAAGCAGTAGGTGATAGTTACTTTCTCATTACTGTGACCAGTTGCCTTGCAAGAAGGAATTGAAGGTTAGGCATGGTGGTGTGTGCCTTTAGTCCCAGCACCCAGAAGGCAGAGGCAGGGGAATCTTTATGAGATTAGGCCAGTCTGTTTTACAGAACTAACTCCAGGCCAGCCATGATGACATAGGGAGACCCTGTCTCAAAACAACAACAACAACTACACCAACCGAAAGAAAAAGGCAGTTTAAAGATGGAAGGGGTTATGTTGGCTCACTGTTGGGTGGGATCGTCAGGGTGCAGAGGTCATGGTGGCAGGAATATGAGGCAGCTGGTTGTGTCATAGTCAGGAAGCAGAGTGAGCTAAGCGTAAGTCCACAGCTGTCCTCCCCACCCCATCCCTTTTCTTATTCAGCCTGGGACCATGCTGGTTAATTTTTTGTCAATTTGACAGAAATCGGAGTCATCTGAGAAGAGGGAATCTCAGTTGAGAAATTGCCTCCATCTGTGGGCAAGTTGGGGCATATAATTTATGAGTGATAGGTGTGGTGGGGGCCCAGCCCACTGTGGGTATTTCCATTCCTAAGTCTGGCCCCTGTAGGTCCTGCAGGAGAAAGCAAGTTTAGTGAACCACGGGGACCTCCCATGGTCTCTGCTTCAGCTCCTGCCCCCAGATCCCTGCTTGAGTTCTTACCCTGACTTTCCTCCATAGTGGACCATGATGTGGAACTGTCAGGCAGATAAACCCTCCCCTTCTCAAGTTGTTTTGAGCAGTGTTTCATCACAGTAGCAGAAAGCTAACAAGGACAGGGACCTAAACTACTCACAGTCAAGGTGAGACCTATCTCATCAGGTCAAGTCCTCTGGAAATACCCTCAAAGACATATCCATCACTGGGTCTCATGTGGGATTCCAAGTCCAGCCAAGTTGATAATGAATAGTAACTGTCATTGGGGGATAGGTGTATGATGTGGGATTCCCCTCTGTATGCTGTGAATATCATTGGTTAATAATGTTTGGGGTCTGTGATAAGGCAAAAGAATAGAGCTAGGCGGGAAAAACTAAATTGAATGCTGGGAAAAGGAAGGCAGAGTTAGAAGTCATGGAGCTGCTGCCAGAGATAGACATGCTGGGACCTTGCCAGTAGGCCATAACCCTCGTGGTAAAATATAAAATACTAGAAATGGGTTAATACTAGATGTAAGAGCTAGCTAGCAATACACTTAAGTGATTGGCCAAGCAGTGATTTAAATAATATGGTTTCTGTGTGGTTATTTCGGAAGTCTGGGTGGCCAGGAAACAAACAAGTGGTCCCTCCTATAGGTATCGTGCCTTTGTAATCTTCTAAGCAGAAGTCTCTTGCTTTTGTGTAGCTCATGCGTGGTCATTTTAAATGGGCAATTCTGTTAGTCCAGCCTGCTACTGGGCAAAACTGTAGCTTTGTATTTGGTCCCCACCCTCCAGATATTTAGAGTTTACTTGAGGAAATGACACAGAAGTGTTTGCAACAACTGCTAGAAGACCCAATAGTAAACTCAGCGCTAGAGACGGTAACTCTAGGAGAACTTCAGGGGAAAGGTAGATGCTGTGGAGGGAAAGAGACTAGATGGCGATGAGATTTGAAGGTGTTGGCCATGACTGTTGAAGAACAGGTAGAGCCTAGTTAAGCTGTGAGAAAGGAGTATCATAGCAAAGCACAAAATAAGGAATTACAGCATGTGGCTAGACATCAATGCGGTCACCATTTGCCTGATGGGAAAATCCAGGAAGAGCATAGGGAGTCTTCTTGGAAAGACTACTTTCAGACACTGAATTAATTGCTTTTCTTGTTGCCATAACAAAATACCTGACAGAAACAACTTACATTTAAAGGAAGAAGGAAGAAGGAAGGAAGGAAGGAAGGAAGGAGAGAGAGAGAGAGAAAGAGAGA